CTGCGAACAACAGCGATTGCTCTAGCGATTAGGATGTGAACACATATAGACACCACTCCGTGCCAAACAAACACAGTACTATTATGGCTCCTCCCTTTGTTGCTTGCTGGTGGTGTCAGTAGGGAGGTGGTGTTCAGAATGGCTGCTTCTTCAATTAGTTCAGTCTCCTTACTCAACTGTTATACGATGCAAATGTTCCTAGACCAATCTGGATTTAACTTTAACTTCTTTCTTTTTTTTTCTTTTTTTTCTTTTTTCCCAGTGCTTACCCTGAACCTTCCTAGATATTTTTGGTCCCATGCCTTTGTGTGGGCAATTTACCAGGATATTATTGCAGGTGCAGGCTTTCTGGTGTGATTTTTCTTCACTATCCTACATCCAAAAAACTCAGTACAAACAGCTCTCTCCCAATAAATAAAAAATTCACCCTACAGTACAAGAAGCAAATTTCTTTTCAGGCAAGTCATGTTTCTCATTGTTCAGAGAACAATAAGCATTTCTGAATGACTAAAGCAAACCCTTGAGAGCATCTAACTGCACAGCAACTATGCAAATGACATTTAGCGATTTGCACCCCTGCAACCAAAAGTTTGGATGTAATTTGTTGTACGTGTTGGGAAGGCTGCTAAATGAAATACTTACTGTTCTCTCAGTCGCTTTTCAGCAGCTTATTCTACTATGATTTTGTCCACCCAGACTCAACATTGCAGCTCATGGTGCTAATGTCCCAAATCATTATTTAATTAAAATAGAGTCAATTAACAGGCTGTATTTAATTTCTCTCAATCTTTGATTGCACTTAGCAGTATGCAGAAGTCATTAAGTAATTTTCTGTCTCTCAGAGATTTACTTTTTTTTTTTTTTTTTTTTTTTTTTTGTCCCTTCCTGTTTTTCCATCATGCTTTGCCCCTCTCTCCATAGACAAAGGTTTCTAGAGCTTTGTCCATGTCAGATTCTCCTCTACAGGACTGGCCCTTCTGCAGCTTTGCCCAGAGCTTTCTTGTTGCCATCTGCCTGTCCCTCTCCAAAGACCAGGAATTCCCAACACTCCCCTCAGCTGTAGGGCTCCAGCTATTTCCTCTCCTCCATACTATATGACTGAACATATCAGTATACTGATTATTCCTTCTACAGACATTTTACAAGAGAGAAGGGTGCTGCTGGTAAATCAATCAACTGTTCTTGAATGTAGTGAACTTATTAAACAAAGAGCTTAGAGTTTTTGTAAAGAGGCTTTTTCCAGGCCGTACAAGTCTTCCACGTATGCCCAAATGGAGTTCAAGTTAAGAAGTGGTCTCTGGCTGGGCACAACGAGATGTTTGTACAAAAATTTATTTCAAAATTGTCTTGAAATTGAAATAAAAAATGGAAACAGGGAATTTAGCAGATATATGTATGTGGATACACATTTGCAAAATGTATCTTAAGATTCTGAATTTAGTTAACCGGGCACTTTTGTACAGAATGAAAAGATACATTGTTATTTTGGTTCTTTCAGCATAGTATCTTAGATCCTGAAATGCTTTCAGCCTGCTAACACAACAGGTTGAGATGTTTGGAGACCATCATACCACCTGTGGATCTGAATACAATGCTCAGCTTGATTTTGACAGCCTCAGCTAGTATGTAATAGGTAAAACAAAAACTATAAATTTAAGAACAGTAGCGGGCCCCACTTAACACACAACAACCTTGTCAAAAAAAAAACTTTAATAAAAGCATCCTCATTCCTCACCTTGCTTGTATAGGAAGCTTCACCACATAACTTAGACTTTCCTCAGCTGTCCCTGGAGAAAAAATAGAGCAGCTCTTCTGAAGGCTGTGAAAATCTGAAGCAGTAAACAGAAACTATTTAGAGGAAGTGAAGTCTGAGGTCTTTACGTAATAACAAATTTGGTTAGAACACAACTCTATCAATGTTCAACAAGCTACAAGGAAGTCTCTCAAGCTATAAGCCTGAACTTCAAATACGGGCAAAAAGCAGCCGATCCAAGAAACTGTTACACAGGTATAGGAATAGTGCATAGCTGCCACTGGTTTCTGTGTCTTCACTCCCTGAAGAGCCGTCTGTAAGACAGAAAGCACTTGAATGGCCGTGGGTTCTGCTGAGGGTCAAACAATGGAGCTGTAAATGACTGCGACTGTGCTTTAGCTCCAGAAAACTACCTGGGGCTTTCACTCTTGCAACTGCCACAATTTTCCACTACAATATCAATATGTTTGCATTCCCAGTACCGTGCCATAGCAGCATTTGTTATGCCACTTCTGAGCAAGAGGAATAGGAGGCTGGGGGAAAAGAGTGCATCTGCAACTCTGCTAGCTCTCCATTTGTAAATTCATATTAGGAGTTCGAGAAAGAATATCATGGAATAGCCTGTGTAATGCCTAGCTGTGGGATATTGTTATAAAAGTGGAAACAAACTGGAAAAAAAAAAAAAAAAGTATCCTCATAAAAACTGCATGCAGCTACAGAACATGGCATATTTCATCTTCTATGTGATACCCCACATCATATGTCTAGACTAATAAGCACACATGACACAGTACAAATCAGGCAGCTTGGTGGGACAGTTGATACTGTTCTGGGGCAAGGACCAGTATCATCTAACCTTGCCTTGAAAAATTAGCTGTATCTACTAACATTGATATGGGCATTTCCACAAAGCATAAGGCACAGTGCAGCTAAGCAGATTAGATCATCAAAATATTAGTGAGCTCTTCTAAGAGATTCATTTCTATAGTCTCATCCTATAACTGAAATCACCGTTGAGAAGCCAGAAGCATAATAAAGCAGCTGCAGAGCAGCATGGGAGCAGACACGTTGAGTCCATCTAGGAATTGCAAGTATCCTTTATAAAATGCTCACAGTACTAGAAGCAGGAAAGTTTGATCACAAGCATGTAAATCAGTGACTGGAGTAGTTTTGCAGTGGATGATTTTGTACTGAAGGAGATGGGGGGAGGGGTGGGAGGGGTGGAATTGCAATGAAGAGCTGTAGACCATTCCGTATACAAAAATACTGCCATTCTTAGATCCTCTGTGCTTTGTAATCACCTCACTGTTTCTCTCAACAACACAATTTTAAAATATTTCTTCAAATTCATTTGATGCATGTCTGCCTTATTCCTTGACTTAGAGCAGAGACTCCAAAATGTGTTGAGAGTAGGGGAGTAAGTGAAGTTTTTTTCCCATGCAGTTGCATTTGTGAAAGGCACTCACTGGAACAATTTTGGTTCCACTGAAAAAGCTTTAAAACCAGACTATGCATGCTGATAAGATAAAGCAAGGCTCCTCTCGTCAGTTGCTAACACGCAGACCCTGTGTCACAAGATGATCACACCTACTGCACAAGGCTTGTACCTGCTGTATCTTCCACCTCAGCACTCAATGGAGCAGGAGCCCTAGGGCTAGGGTTGGGTCCCAGGCACCTGTGCAGCTCACGTGGCTTGTTTATTCAGGCACCCATCAGCGGAGGTGTGAATGTCAAAATATTCATGGAAACAGAGATGCTGACATTATTCTTTGCATTTTTATAATGAGCTACCAGCAAAGTGTTGAGAGTGATAGGGCTGCTTTTATAATAGCACAGAAATATGCAGAGTTAAAGATGATCAGCGTCATGTCAGACTTTTTTTTTCCCCTCCAAACATCAATACAGTGTGATAGAGAGAACAGGTTCTGACACCTGCATATGCAAGCTTATCTTTGTACACAAAAGAAAGACCGCCCTGGGAACTAACTTTTCAATTCAGCTGATTGCGAACAACTGCACTGCATAATCATAGAGTGAGTCACAACAAACTGTAAAAGCTAATATCCAGTAAAGCTTGCCTAGTCCTGTTTTCAACAGTGATTTGCCTGAAGTTGATTTAATTTCATTTAGAGTGACTTTTGAAAATGTGAGAAATTATTCTGAAATCTCTGAGGTTATTTTGAGTATGTCACCTGACTTGACTTGCCCATTCATTGCCCCAAATGGAGCCTCAACTGTTTCTCATATTAAATAGCCAGAACCCCTAGCCACATTTTTTAAAAGGTGGCAATGGTTGTACAGCATAGGTGAAGTGGCAAATATATGTCATTTGCTTTGAATGTGGAATGTGATACTCTTAGGAATGCATGTAGCAGATGTTCTGTTTTACGAGATAGAAAGAAATTCTTATGGCAGAGAATTAATGAAAAGTTATACTGAAAATAGCAACATCTAAAAACATAACAGCAAATATTTCTATCATAATAACCATACAGTATATATATATATATAATAGCATGGCTACAATCCTAAACATATTGAAAGTAATAAACAGGCATAAATTATGATGGCCAATCTCCAAAATCTGGTGGAAAAAAAAGGAGAAAAGTAAGCAGATAAATCCAACATTACTGGCTACAATTTCTAAGTTGTTTCACTTGGTTTCTTATGCTTTTGTAGCAAATGTAGTACGCTTATTGTCACATTGTGAAAGCATGTATTCCTTTTTTCTCCTCCTTCCACTTAAATATTGTATATATACTGAGAAATTTGTTACATATGTAATTATATTAAATAGGTAGTACGTACTTATATAAATCTGTATGCAATACACACTTTCTATTGCATATATATTTTTAATTGTTTTTCTCTTGAGGCAGTTGTAGGCATAATTATACATCTAGATAAGAAAAACAGTCCTGGTTCCCATTAACCACATGGGTTGATGGAACCCACATGTTACTACTGTAACAACATTGGTGACATTCAAAACTGAGTGAACCATCCTGATCACTTAATTGTAAGAAAAAAAAGTCTAAGAAAAAAGGACTTGTTCTTATTACATGCTTACAGACTGATCCAAGTCTCTCTCATCATCAAACAATCACATTTCTATGAACTAGCAGATATCGGACAGATTTTTCAGGGAACAATCTTCAGGTCTCCAATTTGTGTTAAGGAATGCTGAAGATATTCTGGTGCTATTGCACAGCCCTCTAAACCAACCATTGTGCAAGTGACCCAAGAACCCAGGCTTTTCCATCTTCTGTCATACTCCAGCACCAGTACTTACATAATGAGTCCTCTCAGAAGCTGATTTGGTGGAAATATATATCTTTTTCAGAGATAAGATTTGGTTTTGCAGTCATCCCAATCTACGTAGGCTTCAATTGTCATGGAACAGCAGCCTCATTCTTCAGAATCTAGATGGGAAGAGGCATTAAAAATCAATGTGCTGAAATTACCACCATACATATTTATATATATACATACACATGTATGTGAATACATACATATATACATGGGAATCACCATATTAAGGATGTTTTTATTCTGTTCCTGTGGAACAGCACTATCTACTATCATTATTCAGATGTTAATGGTATACTGTTCAAGATCAATTACAAATTACCTAAATTCCTTCAGGCATCTATGTTAAGAAAAAACACAAAAGGAAAGAAATTATGTATAGCAGCGAGAATGCACATGGCTAGTATAGTTCAAACACATTTTAGCTAAACTTTGTAAGCTATATAACATGTTGTAACAGTAGCTTGAATTAAGCAGCAGTATCCATAGGAAGTATTCAACTTATTCTGTGGTATGCCTCTGCCTGTGCAGGCAAGGCATCCATGTTAAGGAGAAAATGTGGACAGAAAATATTGTGACATATTTAAATACATGTTTTGACTTAATATATTCACATTATACCTGGGCAGCATTAGTCAAAATGACACGCTGTGCTTTTCAAAACCATTCAGTGTTGACATAGTTCCACTCCCAAGTAAAAGTCAGTAGGAGTTCTACTGCTGACTTCCACAGAATGTAAGCCAATGTTGAGCACTTCTGAAAATAGCTTTCCATCTGTATATTTATTCAAATGAAAAGGGGCTGTTAGTAGAAATGGAAATGGAAAAAAAAAAAAAAAAAAAAAAAAAAAAAGTTTTTAATTTTAAAAACTAAAGTTAAATGAGAATTACTCCACTAGAAATCTAAAACGCAAGAAACACCTAGGCAAATTTGAACACTTTATGATGGAGAACAGCTCAGTTGCTCCAGGTGACACAGCTATGGAATTTCTGAGGTCATTAGACACCACTGACCCTATATGAATGGCATTTCACACTCTCAGTAGGTAGACGAGAACTCTAATGGAAGTGCCTATAAGTTACAAGCTATAAGTAATAACCCCCTCTCAAAAGAAATTATTTTATCAGCCAAGGTAGATTTCATTCAGGTAGATTTCTACTTCATCATTTCCCAAAGCAGACTTTTTTTTTTGTTTGTTTGTTTTTTTTTTTTTGGCTGCTAAATCCAGTTGCTTTATTTAAAGGAATAACCATGTGAGAGATGTCCGTTGGCTCTCAGTCAACAATACATCAACTGTGGCCAATATTTAACGTACAAGTAGCCCTCCTGATTTCAGAGAGGCCTCTGGTGTGCTGGAAGTTAAATAGTTACACAAGGACATTGTTGACTCAATGCTCTTCAATTCCTGAAGGCTCACTTTTGAATAGTGAAGTTTACTACAGAATCAAGGTCTAGAGAATGTAATTAACTTTGCTGTGGTGGTGGATTTATTTGTTGGTTTGTTTGTTTACGTTTCCCTCCAGATACTGAAGAACCAATAATGCTTTATAGCATCATAGAATGGCCTGGGTTGAAAAGGACCACAGTGATCATCTAATTTCAATCCCCCTGCTATGTGTGCAGGGTAGTCAACCACCAGACCAGGCTGCCCAGAGCCACATCCAGCCTGGCCTTGAATGCCTCCAGGGATGGGGCATCCACAGCCTCCTTGGGCAACCTGTTCCAGTGTCACCACGCTCTGTGTGAAAAACTTCCTCCTAATATCTAACCTAAACCTCCCCTGTCTCAGTTTAAAACCATTCTCCCTTGTCCTACCACTATCCACCCTCATAAACAGCCATTTCCCCTCCTGTTTATACACTCCCTTCAAATACTGGAAGGCCACAATGAGGTCTCCCTGAAGCCTTCTTTTCTCCAAGCTAAACAAGCCCAGTTCCCTCAACCTTTCTTCATAGCAGAGATGCTCCAGACCTGCAATCATCCTAGTGGCCCTCCTCTGGACTCATTCCAAGAGCTTTACCAATTCTGCTTTTAGGTTTGTGCCAACAACTGCCGAAAGTACAGAAAGCCTCACATCTAATGATGCACTTGAAATAATTTTGCCCTTTGGTAGTGTAAAGTTGATACAGTTCAAGTTGAAAGAACCCAGATGAAATCTGTTAGATTTAGACCAGACAATCCCATTGAGAAGATGAAAAATAAAGTTCAAATAAACTTTGTGAAAACTGCTGCAGATTTTGGTCATTCTGACTTTCCACAGATTATTTTAAGTTCTAGCACTCATCCCTCAACCCAGCATACGCTGGCCTGCCTATGTTGGTCTGTAGTTGACAGTTCTGCTTCATCTTCAAGTGCATTCTTCCATGTAAGTACCCCTGTGTTTAGGCAAGAGTTGGAGCATGTTATTAATGAATCACAGATTAATGGATTATTAATGAATCAAATGAAGATTTCTCAGACATTTGTACAACTATAGTTCAAGGGCTAGGATTATTTCTTTTACCTGTATTCAGTACTACACAGCAAACACTAACTCATTTGCACATACACAAATAATTAGTAAAAACACCACAGTGACTGCACAGTTCTCTACCTGCGGAGACAACAGTCGTGTTCTGTGTTTATCGTTTATCTGAAGGAAGACAGTATATGAGTCCAGAAAAGCAGAAGAAAAAGACATTTTTTCACCAAAGGATTGTTCATTTCCTCTCATCCGTGTCTCTGAAATCACTACAAGTGGACATGTTCACTGACCTTTATTGACTACAAAGCAATGCTATGTAAGCCTCTTCATCACAAATCACTTTGTTTATCTGTGCATGTCATTTCTGTTCAGATTATGGAGTGTTTTTCAGTCTTTTGCTGGGTATACTTTCCTAATGTCTTTTATAACGTGCAATAAGTTATGAGCAGAGCTGGAAACTTCTCCATAGCTAGATCTACAACACAATCTGTTATTGTTTCAGGATATGATTTAATAGAAGTTATGCTCCTCTAGTCTCATGCACACATCTGCCAAAATGTTCAATTTAAGTAAATTGTGTTAGGAATGAAGTCATACTGTCATGCACGATAGTAATGGAAATTGGCTGATTACATTTTGTACTATAAAGAGCTTGGTCTCATTATAGCAAGAGATTCAATGCTGTTTTTATATTAAAAAAAAAAAAAAAAAGACTGTCTGAAGTAATGACAGTGTCAAGTAAGAAGATACTGGAACATATCTCTTTAGGCTCAAGTCTGCATTAATCTCAATATTGAAAACAGAAAGAGCACAGGCATTATGAGTGGCTGAAGGAGCTGGGATTGTTCAGTCTGGAGAAGAGGAGGCTCAGGGGAGACCTTATTACTCTCCATAACTATCTGAAGAGAGGTTGTAGTGAGCTGGAGGTCGGCCTCTTCTCTTGTGTAACTAGTGGTAGAACTAGAGGGAATGGCTTCAAGCTGTGCCAGGGGAGATTTAGGCTGGACATTAGGAAATATTACTTTTCTGAAGGAGAGGTCAGGCACTGGAATGGACTGCCCAGGGAGGTGGTGGAGTCACCAACCCTGGAGGTGTTCAAGGAATGTTTGGATTTTGTGCTGAGGGACATGGGTTAGTGAGAACTATTGGTGATAGGTGGATGGCTGGACTGGATGATCTTGTAGGTCTTTTCCAACCTTGGTGTTTCTGTGATTCCGTGATTCTTATCAACCTGAGCAGATCTTCCATTTCTCTGTACACCAAATTTGAAGACAGACTTGTATACAATTTCCTTTAAAAAACAAAAAACAAAACAACAGCAAAAAAACATAAACATACCAAACTAAAAAAAAATCTCCACTACCAAAAGATATCCAAGTACACACAGAGAGTTAAAATTAAAGGAAGTTAATGTTGGCATGAACTGAAGTCAACACCAGTAAACATCATATAAAGATATGATAGATTCATGCCAATAAATCAATAGGTAACGTAAGAGCTTTATGAGTTTTGGCAGTCCTCTTGGCCCAGACGTTTTTGCAGGCAAAACAAAGTGGAGATATTATCTTTTACTGTTAGTGTGAGATTGTGATTTAAAGCATTTAGATTTTTTTTCTATAGGGCAGACTGAGTTCACACTGAAGTGAGGGCTCTGTTAAGATAAATAACAGCAGTGAACAGAGACAAGCCAAGAATAATGAATATGTTTCACAAATAATAAATATTTTAAAGTCAGTGCTTTGAATAGTGCTCCTGTTTTCTAGATACTTCCACCTACGTTTAGTTGGAGCTAACTTTGTAAATAATATTTCATTATGATGCTAAAAGCTGTGCATATAAAAATAAATCAAAATGGACAGGTGTGGCTGATGAAAAGAGCAAGATTTTGTCAATAAAAGTGAAAATGCCATCTAAAGAAGTATGGAGTACCATTATTTTGCCACTTCTGGCATTTGTATTGGCATCCAAAGACTTGTGGATATGTTTATAACTACTCACCGAGATGACAGAGAGCAAACCCAATCATTTTTGTGAGGAAGAGGAGTGCCAAGTAGAAAATGACAGAGGCAACCAAAAGAATGTCATCTCAAAATTTTCATTCAGGAAGGCTTCTAAGGGAGTGCACAACTCCAAGTACTTGAATAAATGCATTGAAATGAAGATATTTTTTTTTTTCAAGTAGTGCGTATCTCTGAGCAACGAAACAATGAGCTCTGCTGACCTCAGTAAGGTTGCTTGCACTTGGGAGGAGAGGCTACCAACATCCCTGCCCCTCCCTGAGACTATAAAGGTACAACAGTTTCAGTAAAATTCCCCCTAAACTGCTGTGGGTAATATATATATTTTTAAATCCTACAAGGAACTCCCCCCCCCAGTAAAAACTTTCTAGGTTATATAGTTAACTGGCTACTGGGTTAATTAAGATGAGCAGCATGACTGAAACAAGAGCTTAGCATGAATTGTAAAGTCCAGCTAAAACCTTCAAATTCCTATCCCAGCAAACTGAATTTGTGGGTAGAACGTCCTTTATACAAATCAAGACACAGTTGTCCACTTGGCAATTCCTTATTTGATGTTGCAACATCTGTATCATAAAGCTTCGCTGTAGTTGGGTGCTGAAGAGAAAACTCATCTTTTATGACATTCTTAAAAAGGGGACATTTCATTGTTCTTGTCATTACATGATAAATGCTTCTGGAGAACATAAATCTTTCATGAATTGTTTCAGCACCAGAATGGTACACTTAATGAACTGCTAACTTCAAAGTACATCAGAAGCCCTATACTCAGAATTTTTGTATTTCAATTCTTTTCTCTCTCTCCTTCCCTTCCCTTCCCTTCCCTTCCCTTCCCTTCCCTTCCCTTCCCTTCCCTTCCCTTCCCTTCCCTTCCC